GCTCATTGCAGCTTTAAACTCCTCTTTTTTTTTTTTTTTTTTTTTGTAGAGATAGGGTTTTGTCATGTTACCCAGGCTTTGGCCATGTTAGTCAAGCCCTTTATTTTATATGCTTTTTAAAGACAGAGTCTGTCTCTGTTGTCTAGGCTGGAGTGCAGTGGTGCAATCATAGCTCATTGCAGCTTTAAACTCCTCTTTTTTTTTTGAGATGGAGTCTCGCTGTGTCGCCCAGGCTGGAGTGCAGTGGCGTGGTCTTGGCTGACTGCAAGTTCCGCCTCCCGGGTTCACCCCATTCTCCTGCCTCAGCCTCCCGAGTAGCTGGGACTACAGGCGCCTGCCACTACACCTGGCTAATTTTGCTTTTGTATTTTTAGTAGAGATGGGGTTTCATCCTGTTAGCCAGGATGGTCTTGATCTCCTGACCTTGTGATCTACCCTCCTCGGCCTCCCAAACTGCTGGGATTACAGGCGTGAGCCACTGTGCCCTGCCTCAGCCTTTGAATAGCTAGGACCACAGGTACCCAATATAAATTTTTTTTTTTTTTGTAGAGACAGGATCTTGCTATGTTGCCCAGGCTGATCTCAAACTCCTGGCCTCAATCAGTTCTCCTGCCTTGGCCTCCAAAAGTGCTGGAATTACAGATGTGAGACACTTCAGTCTTTTAAGAAATGGGGTCTCACTATGTTGCCCAGGCTGGTCTAAAACCCTTGGGCTCAAGTGATCCTCATGCCACAGCCTCCCAAGTAGCTATGACTACAGGTGTGTGCCACCATGCCTATCTATATTCTTTAATTTGGTTACAACTGTGGAATAAAAAATGTAGCTAAAACACACATTTAGGCTATGACCTCATTGTTCCATTTTTTCCAGCAGGACAAATAATAGGTCTCATCATCTCTACTTTTTTTCCTCTGACATCAAAACTATCAAAAATTCTTAGATGATGGCAACAGCAATTCCCATTTATGAAGCTTTTACTCAGCGCCATGGCCTGTAATAAGTACTGCACATAATTTATTCTCCCTCCCCCCTCCTTTTTTTTTTTTTTTGAGACAAGGTCTCTCTCTCTGTCACCCAGGCTGGAATGCAGTGGCTCAATCTTGGTTCACCGCCTTGACCTCTTGGGCGCAAGTGATCCTCCCACCTCAGCCTCCTGAGTGGGTGGGACTACAGGCGTGCACCACCACACTGGCTAATTTTTGTTTTTCCTTTGATCTTTTTTTTTTT